GCCCGTCCCCTCTCCCCGCCCCGCGCGATCTCCCGGCTATTCCCCACCGCCCTCGCCCTCTGCTCCCTCGCCCCTCGTCTCTTCTCCTCCCCTCGTCCTTCTCCTCCTTTCTCCCGCCCCATTCCCCCCCCCCGTCCCCCTTTCCCCCCGACGTTTCCCTGCCCTGTTTGTCCTTCTGCCTCTCGCTGCCGTGCCACTTGTCGTCCCCCCACCCTGTGCTGTTCTCCCTCCCTGCCCTGCTCCTGTCCTTGCTCTGTTTCCCGGCGTGCCCCTGCGGCGGTCCGCTCTCTCAGCGCCGTGTGATGTCCTGTGTACTGGCCCTGTTGGCCTGCCGTCTCGTCTGCTTGCTGCACCAGCGCCGCCACCAGCAAGCCAAGTGGGCGAACCATGATGATGCTTTTCCATTCTGTCCCAGCCAAACCTGCTGTCTCGAACTGTCTCTGTTCATCTGAGGTTTTATACGCAGGGGCCCAAGAGGCGTGCCCAATGAGGCGGTTTCTGACCCCACTGTCCCCCAACGTTTTTTTGTCGCAGCTTGTTCCCGCCAACCAGTCACATTCCAACATCCGCAGCCCTGCCACCACACCTGCACCTCAGCCCCTCTGTGGTCTCGTGAAATCCAGCTGCCTGTTTTCTGACCACCCCCCCCACACACACCACCCGCGCGGGGGGGGGGGCATTTGGTGCCACTCGGCCAGCTTCCCTGTTGACAGCTTTTAAGAATCATCTGGACGCTCCAGTTCTAATGACCTTCCCTGTCCATTTGGCCTCCATCTATACTCGACGTTCTTCTCTGTCACAACACAAATCACTCATCCAAAATCCCAGCCCGCAACGCCGGCATAATCTTTTTTTTGTTGGCTTGAACTTTTCGCTGTGCAATTCCTCCCAGCGGCCACCTTTGCATGAACTGATCATAGAATTCACTTCTATGTCCTTGCACCCATGCCCACAGGTCCAGGGCACGCTGCGTTTGGCCTCCCATCCCAGCAAGTGCTTTCGTGTCATGATATATTCCTATATATTCGCCAATCCAATCTCAGATATGTGCGTATATTACGCACATGGGTCTTTATGGTTATTTCTAATGTCCACAGGTTGCGAGTCTGTTGTGATATTGCTTCCTACTATCAAGTATGTACAGGCTGTCAGTGCAGTCCGCAGCATGTCAGGCTCATGCCGATTACATGCCCTGAACTCATACAGAATATGAAATAAATAACTTTACAGAATCTGAGATATACAGCTATACAGAAATGGGAACTATGCAAGTTGTAAACAGTTGTAGGTTAAAGATTATCGAATGTACAGAATGATTATTTACACAGAGCTATACAGTAGTGCAGTTAAGATAAGTGAGGGTGTAGATAGTTTCTACAGAGGTATATAAAGTGCTGGTGGTTGTGAGTGGTGGTTCAGTCCATGTTATTATTGTGTGTTTGAGGGTACAGTTGTCCATTGTGGGTGTGTGTATGTTCAGTCCATGTGTTAACGTGGGTCAGATGTCAGGAGGCAGAGTTCAGGAGTCTGACAGCTGTGGGGAAGAAGCTGTTCCGGTACCTGGTGGTCTTAGTCCGGAGGCTCCTGTAGCGCCTCCCAGAGGGCAGGAGGGTGAAGAGTCCATGTGATGGGTGACTGGGGTCTTTGATGATTTTCCCAGCCCTTTTCAGACACCGCTTCCTGTAGATGTCTTTTATGGCAGGAAGTGGTGCTCCGGCGATGCGCTGGGCAGTTTTCACGACCCTCTGCAACGCCTTCCGGTCCGAGGCAGAGCAGTTCCCGTACCAGACTGTTATACAGTTGGTCAGGATGCTCTCGATGGTGCAACGATAGAAGTTCACCAGGATGTCTGAGGACAGGTGGTTCTTCCTCAGAGTCCTCAAGAAGAAGAGGCGCTGGTGAGCCTTCTTGACCAGCTTGGAGCAGTTGGTCGTCCCATGACATCTCAATGCCAGACTGTTTTGCACTGTCTCACTCTGTATATGTTTTTATATATTTTATTTATTGTTTACTCTATTTAATTTGTAAAATATGTGTACACACACACACACACACAGTAGAAAAATATTTAGTATACACATCCAGAAATGCATATACTATTATATATTGTACATATATTTATTAGTTTCAGATGTAGCCATTCTTGTATTTTGCTTGTTTACATTATTGTATTTTGCTTGTTTACATTCTTGCATTTTGCTTGTTTACATTTTGTATTTTGCTTGTTTACATTCGTCTGTCCTGCTCACATCTCCAATGGTTGTACACGTTGTCATTAACGTGGCTTCACTCCACATCAGCCGCTTTGCTAAAACACCGGCGTCGGCACATAAGGACGCTGTCATAGCCTGTCAGCGGCGTTGATCAGCTGCGTATATGCGAATGTGAATCACATCATTGGCTGGACTGTGGGATAAGGTGGCATCGTTCTAATCCCATATGGGAGCAGCCAGTCACTGACTCACACTGCAAAACAGAATTGTTAACGTATTTATTTTAATTTCAATTCAGGTTAGATTTTTTTTGTGTGCGCAGAGACCGTGCCAGCAGTGCGCAATTGCGCACGCGCGCAGCTTAGAGGGAACATTGGTTGTAGAGTGTGACAACGACTGGAAGGAAAGACCTTCTGAATCTCTCCTGGTTTGGGGTTGGTGGAGGGTGTATTTGCACAACAAAAGCAGGAGATCAATGGAGCTGAAGGCCTGTGAAAATCTCATCGGGGTGCTAGGAGGTGTTAGGTTCAGGGAAATTATGCATATTTGCGCAGGTTTAGTAAATCTAGTGTTAACAATCATTGACAGTTACATTTTCCTTGTAGTCTGTCTTGAAGTCATAAAGATTACATTAGTTGCTGATTTACTAGAATTACTTTATGCCCTCAGTTATCATAGGGTTACTGAATCGAATGATACCGTGACCTCCCCTTTGTACTGTGTAATATAAAAGTCAGTCAGGTTTGCAGATGACACAGATACTGTTGAGTTTTCACTGACAGAATGGAGATCATGGTGTTTTTCTCGCTGTTGCTTCTGGTCTGCTCTGTTTCCACAAATCAGACAGAGGCAGATAATGAAATTGTTGACCAGCAGATTTCAAACCAACAACCCTGTCCACAGGACATCCACGCTGTGCTGAGAGAGCTGACCGCCTCACTGGCTGAACAGAAAGTGAGGACGGCATTCCTGGAAAAACAGACTCAAGGTACAGTATCATGTCAGGTAGTGAATAAGATCCACTGTTGTGGTACAGACACATCAATGTCACTTCATCGATATTCAGAATGACAAACATTCATTTAAACTCTTTTGTAAAGTGTACTTGGTTTTCTTGAAATGTGCTTTATAAAGTTATTATTATTATAATTACTATTTGAGGATAATAGACTATGTGCGTGTTAGCATATGCTATGTCCGGTGGGGAAACTCCTGTAGAGCGCTCGTTTCCGGTGTGATATTGTTTACGGTCCAGTTTTCCAAAACAAGTCAACCAAATGAATGAATCAAGCGGTGATTTACATTTCTCAAGCTGTCTTGGGCATTTACCGAATATATCTGTAGATGATGTTCATTGACTTGTCGATATTTTTTCACCCGCGCCTCAGAGCAAAAGAGAGAAAGGATTCAAATTTTATGTTTCCCAGTATTTGTATACAGCGGTCTCTCGTTTATCGTGGGCGTTACGTTCTAAAAATAACCCGCGATAGATGAAATCCGCGGAGTAGCCAACTTTATTTTTTACAATTATTATAGATGTTTTAAGGCTCTAAACCCCCTCACTACACACTTTTTACACTTTTCTCTCTTGTTTAAAGTCTC